ACATTGATTAAAAATTATCAGAGGTATGGATTTCCTCAACATCTGTACTACGTTTGCTCCAAACCTCCTCATGGACTAACTGTGGGTATCTGCAGGTAAGAAGCATGCTAACAAACAAGCTTCCCTAATAAGTGGAGAAAAAGGATGTCATTTTGCTTTGTTTTGCCAAAATAAGGCACAGGAGGGTCCTTTAATGTCCATCAATCTTTGATGGAGTTCCTTTCTTCCCCTCCCCCACCCTCTTCTCCTCTCCGGATCTATTGTGAAGGACCATTACCTAAAGTTCAGCTTTGTGCTCAAGCTCCCATTCCAGTACCACTCAAGCCCACTTTCCAATACCACTCAACCCTTCCCAAACCAAAACTACTACTTTGCTTAAAAAGCTGCTCTCATAGCTTTATCCAGGGAACGAATGCCATTACCAGAGCTCTTCATACGTGCAGTCCTCCACTCTGCCAGCTGAGCCACTGCAGGGACCCCAGAGCATTTTACATGAAGGGAGGGAGGGAGCAGGAGAAACAACCCTTTGAAATACCTTAATTATTTGCTCTGTATTCCTTCTCCCCCCCCCCCCAACCTGCTCTCTCCTCTCTACTTGCTGACTCTTGGAGGTTCAGGAAAGAGCCCTCCTAAAATATTCTCTGATTTTTAGCATGTAGCAGAGCTTCTATGTCAGATTTTATCCTGTTCTGGTTTCACAATCAAGATATTTCAACCACTTTCTATTACCCTGGAAATCCTCAGCTTTTTTAGTATTTTTTTTTTAAAGATTTATGTATTTATTCATACAGAACTGGGGTACAGGCCAGAGATGCGGGGGGTGACAGGATTCACCAGAGACAGAAAGGAGAGCAGAACAGGCAGATCGACAAAGTACACTGCTGAGGGGAGCAGCGGGCGGGTCAGGAGAGGTCTGCCACGCCATGTGGTCAACTCCGGGGCAGGCGGGGATCGAACTCATGCGGAAGTGGCTTTAGCTTCTTAGTGCAGTGCTTTAACCCGCTGCGCCACCAGGGAGGGCCCTTTTTTAGTATTTTAACAGTAATGATAACAGCTAACATTAGTTTGACATTGACTAAATACAAGCACACTTCTAAATGCTTTACATATGTTTTCTCTCTTGATCCCTACAAGGTAATACTATTATCATCCTAATTTCATGGGAGAGGAAACTGGAGCAAAAAAAGAAAGTTGCCCTCAGTCACACATTAGGTAAATGGTGGAGACTGGATTCAGATGCAGGTAATCTGACTTCAAAGATTCCCTTTTCCTGTTTGTTAATACAATTACGATTATCTCTTATGTCTGTCATTTTCAACTAGACCTGAGAAGTAGGGGAAAGCAAAGGGCGTGATTGGTTCATCCTTCTGTAATGTATATGCTTTGTTTTCCAAACATCTGGATTGTATGCACATCATTACGATCAATTAAAACGATCAATTAGACAATCAGTTAAAATCTAGTGAGGCAGCTCTCTTGACACCTGTGACTACACAGGTGTTTCTTTTCAAATCTTTTTTCCTTCACAAAGCAGCAGAAGTAACTCCCCTACACACCAGTGACTGTGCAGGTGCCTCTTTATTTTTCTCCTTTTTCTAGTAAAGCTGTACTTTTTTTTAAAAAAGATGTATTTATGCATATAAGAACTGGGGTAGAGACAGAGATGTGGGGATGAGAGGGTTCACCAGAGACAAAGTAGGGAGTAGAACAGGCAGATTGACTGAAATGCACTGCTGAGGGGGACAGCAGGTGAGACAGGAGAGATCTGCTGTGCCATGTGGGTCAGCTCCCTGGCCAGAGTCAAACTCACAGAGTGGCTATGGATAGCTTCACACAGTGCTGCTCTTTAAAACCCTGTGCCACCAGGGAAGGACTAAAGCTGTACTTTTTAAATGTACAGAATTAACAGAAGTAATATAAAGGATTCCCAAAGTAAGAAGGTTGAAGTGGCAATTTCAAAAGTACAGAGAAGTTTACTTTTAAACTAAGAAAAGCATTTTCATATTCTCAGCAACTCATTAGTGTCACTACCATCAGAGAAAAATTTTAGTCCCATCCTATTCCCTAACAGCATCTTTTTAAACAATTTGATTCCATTCAAATACATACAATATACCTATTATGTGCACTGTACTACAAACTGAAGATAAAGAAAGGAAAGACACTCTCCCACCATCCCTGCCCTTACAGAGCTTACAGTCTAGTGGAAGACAGGGGCCAGTAAACAAATAACTACGACTCAATGTGCTAAGTACTGGCACAGGTGGGCAGAGCGAGGATACTGTCAGAACAAGGAGACAGGTGCACTCAGGAAGTTACTCAGGAAATAACTCTTAGATGAAATATTCATGGATATACTATTGTTTGGGGGATGTTGACCTGCATTTATCATCTACTCCCTCAAATAGGCCCCTCAGTCACCTATATACCACCTGGTAAAGAGCGCCCAGGCCACACAGAAAACTAGGAGCCTCTTCACTTTTACCGCCTCCTCTTCAATTAGTCAACAAGTCTCACTGAATGCTACTTCCTCATCTGTCAAATCAACTCCTAGCCCTCTAGTCCTACTAGAGAGGAACTTAAATTAGTTTCTGCCTCCACCATTGCTCACTTTGATCATGGTAATAACCTTAATTTTAAAAAAAGCACTAATTTTAAAAAAAGCAAACGGATCCAGAAAACTCCCTTAGCATGGTGTGCCACTAGATCTGGCCTCCCTTCACGCGTTCCCACTGTGTGGAAGTTCCTACACCATGCTGTTCTGCTTAATGGCCTTTACTCAAGCTGCTTGGTCTTCATGGCTTGTGATTCTCTATTCCTCACTTGCTAATACTTATTCAGCCTTGCAGCACATCACTTCTGCAAAGTCATCTTGATGGCGATTCTTCTCTCTCTCCCTCCTACCTACAAGCTAGGGCAGCTACCTCTTCTCTGTGTGCCCAGGCCATACGGCCTCATCAGGACACTCACCATAAACAATTAAATTTGAAATATTCTATAATTGCCTGTTTACCTAGTTCTTTATTCTCTAGATCACTGAGCTAGCTTGGTGCCTGACATTACAGACAGTCAAGAATATTGAAAGCACAAAAGAATGAACTAACCAACTAAAGAAAGAAGATAATTAAGTCTGAAAGCTCATGAGGTAACCAAAGGAGATAATGGAGAGGACAGAAAGAACACTGGAGCAATACCCACTTTCAGTAGGTGGGGAGAAAGATGCTAGTGGAGGAAACAGAATGAACAATTAAAGAGTCAGGAAGAAAACAACCAGAATTGTACAGTAAAGTAATCCAAAAGAAGAGAAAAATTTAAGAAGGTGCAGATGACCAACAGTACCAAACACTACAAACAAGTCGAAGGTGAGGACTAAGAGCAGGTCGCTGAAAGAGGTGGTCACGGGATCTGGATAGGCCCTGGCTTAGTTTACACTCAGCTGCCTCAGGGACCATCTCTCTCAGCCACTGATGAGGAAATTTAGGGTCTATAAATTAACCAGTAGTAGGAAACTTACCTGTGCTAATTTCTTTTTTCCACATTGGAAATTGAGAAACAGAAAACATACAAAAGAAAATAAAATCCCACCACTTAAGTATTATGTTATTTCACTACTTCCTGTGACTTTTATGTTTATATCTGTATATAACTGATATTAAATTTCATGACCTAATTAAATAATTTCCTGATTATTTGGTCAACACAAGTTAGTTTTCTCACTGTAAATCAATAAATAGGCATCCTAATTTATAAACAGGAAAAAACTGTTAAAGAATTAGATGTGCCTATATGACAATATGTTGGCATTTTCCTGTCACATAATACTAAAATTGCCTCTAAATTTATAACAACAAAATTATTTATTCAAAAAGGTAGCCATCCTAAGCATCTTGTCTTGACTCATTTAGGTTTGATCTTATTCTTTTCAACAACTGGAGTTCCTAAAATAGGCTATGCTCTAGGTATAGACAGTGCTTAGGAGCTGTGGGATATTTTTCCTTTTTAAAAATAATTTCCTTAGTCAAAATTAAATACCCTAGCTTATAAATTATTTAATAAAGTTTAAATTACAACATTAAGCATGCTCATCTGATAATTTGCTTTATCTAGAAAACTTGTGTGAACCAGAGTTTTCAATTCTCTTCTGAGATTTCGTTTTTTCAGTATGGACTATGATTTAGAAGGAATTCAACATTTCTAAAAATAAGAATTAGTAGGTCAAAGGATGTTAACATTTTTAAGGCTTTTGATACATACTGCCAAATTGAATCCAGAAAATTTCTACTTCCTTCAATATCTGAGCTTCATTTCCCCCATACTCTTACCAACACTGGGTGTTCTTTCAAGTCTCTATCAACCCAACAGGTGAAAATAATACTATTATCTTAATGGTTATGTTTGCAACAAGAGTGAAAATAAATATTTGTTCATTTATTGAACTTTCACTTTTATGAACTGCTCATGCATGTTCTTTGACTTATTTTTCTAGTGGGCATTCACTTTTAGACTATTATAATAACTCTTTATATAGTTATGATGTTATGATGTTAATCATTTGCTGCAAATATTTCTCTGCTTAGCCTCCCTCCCTTATCTTTTTATTTATGGTGTTTTACATGTAGTTTTTTATTTGATAGTCACATAAACTAATTTCTATTTCTTTCTTAGAATCATATTTTAGAAACTCTTCCCCACATCTATCTCTTACAAATTATTCACCCTAAGTTCTCTCTAACATGGTGACAGAGGAATAATATGCATAACAGTGAACTTTATTTTACCATCGAATACACATAAACTGACTTTAATTTCCTAAAGCTTATAATTACTGTTCCAAAACTGGTCAATATGAAATATAGATTTAAAATTTTGTCCTAGACCTTTCTTATTCCAATTTTAGCTGTTTAGACAGTTTTTAAAAACCAAACTTTGAGTTTAGAAAATTCATTCAAAGTTCCCTTTAACCCATATGAAGTACAGATCTCTTGCTAGTTATCACCCACCTCTCAAAAACCTGTTAGGGATCCTTATGATGGGACAGGACTGAATGAAGCGCCTCCTAACAGGGTCCCATCGTATTTTCTTCTTACCTGTTACCACAATTATCAGCAATAAGTCAGACACATACAACACATGGCAAATAATACAGTTACTGTAGTTATAAAGACAGAAAAACAGGAAACAAAACAATACTTGAATACAGAAAGAAGTGATGCAAAGTAGCATTTAAGCCTGTTTTGGAAGTCAAAACAAAATTAAATTAGTATATAAGCAGTGATGAAGGTTTTCAACAATAATCCTCAAAAGAATACGAACAATTGTGTGCACCATTGTTGAAATTTTGGTTCAATAGCACAAGCATTCAATAATCACCAATGCCATCTTGTGGCAAAAATTCACCAGGAGTATTTCAAACAGAAATTATGACATTTTTAAAAGTCAGTGGATGTCAAAAAAGGAGCTCAGACTAAAATTAATTTGGCATAACATAGGCTCCTGTTCTCATCCAAATTTGGGTATCATTCTTTTATCAGTGATATGGTTAGCACCAGGCACCATTCTTTATATATGAAATAATCTGATCTATCTTGCTACAATTAAAATTTTATGGTAGCTGGTAGCAACCAAATAAAACAAACATTTAATATCTTGGCACTTCCATGCAAGTTGGGGGTAGGATGAGGATTCACCTGCCTTTTAATTTGCCAAAAAGCAAATTAGCTCCTCACTGACCCCAATGCATACTTATTTTCTCATAAAACATATGAAAAATGCAAAGCATTATAGAACTGTTAAGTGGGACAATTTTGTCTCTTAAGTTTTGATAGCTCCCAAAGATAGCTCTTATTGACAATAAAAACAATTAACATTTGTATAGTAGTTAAAGTTTACAAAGAGCTTCCACACGTATTACCTCATTTGGTTCTCACCACAATCCTGTGTGGATTCAACTGTCATTTCATTAAGCACATGTTTTTGCCATGAGCCCTAGGCCAGGTTCTAGGGTTGTAAAGTGGTAAAGCTGCTGCCCTTAAGAGCTCATGGTCCTTTGAGAAAGGCAGATGTCTAATAAATAATTGTATTACAGTTAAATAAATGCCTGTAAGAACACCCTGAGGAAGATATTATCCTCTTAATTTTACAAGGAAGCTTAAGAAGTTAAAGGAAAATTACATGACTTAATGGCAAAGCCAGGGTACCCAAGCCTGGACCTTGTGAATCTGAAGCCTGCCACCTCCCCACTGTACCATGCTTATCACAAATTCCTTAGAAAGTAAGTGGGTTTTGCTTTTGGTAATTGCAAATACACTGATGTTCGTCAGCAAGGCCTGCTTACTGTAGTACTTGCACACAGAGATACTCAAATTCTGTAAAATTAAATGGCATTACCTGGGCATATGTACTTTGTGGAGAAAAGAGACTTGTAGGAAAGGGGTAGAATTATTTATCTTACAAAAGGACTTATCTTTTAAACCTTTAAACCTTTTAAATCAGTAGTTCGCAAATGATGATCTACAGGCCTCTGCTTAGGCTAAAATGAAGGCTCACCAGTCCAACACAAAAGAGAAAAATATGGACATGGCAATGAGTTTAAATGTACTCCATTTAAAGGCCTGACCTTTCTTCAGAGATCTGAAATTTTCTGTTATTAAATATTTTTTATTTAATGAGATAAAGTGATAGGAAACAGTAGTTGGGCCTCTTTTCTTGGAAACAGAAAATTTGCAAGCCTATGTGTATCCCATATATATACATATACATATATACATATGCACGTATACATATATATTCATATACATATATATATTTAATAGAGATTTATGACAGCTAAATCTGGAGAATCACAGTTTTAAGTCAATACAATATTTGTTGATGACTATAAGTCCAACACTGTAAACCACACTGTCAAAGGATACATAAAATATATAAGAAACTTCCCTTGCCCTCAAGAAGCTTATATTCTAATTAGGGAGACAAGACAGACACATAAACAATTAGATAGCAATACAAGACAGAATATAACAGGTGATTAGCTTAAAATTTGACATTTTTATGTATCAAAAGCATTAAAATGTACATACCCTTTGACCCAGCTATTCCACTTCTAGGAACTTATTCCTAAAGAAACAATCATAGATGCATGGAAAGATGTATAGACAAAGATACTATGATATTATTTATAACGGCAAAAAATTAGAAACACTTTCAATGTCCAGTGATAGGGAGATGGTTAAATAAGTATGCCAAATAAACATATATATATCCTACATACCAATAAAAAGTATATATAAGAATAATTACTAATATGAGAAAATATTCACAATATATTGCAAATGAAAAAAAGAAGGTACAAAATAGTACTAAATATACCATTTTAGTCAAGAAAAACATGTTTGTATATATTCACAAAAAAATACCAGAAGGACAGACATCAAATTTTAATTGTGGTTATCTCTGATTGATTTTTATGATTGATTTTGTTTTTTCTCCTTAGTGCTGGTCTTTATTTTCCAAGCTTTCACTGAGTAGGCATTACTTTTGGACTGGAAGAAAAACAATACCAAATTACTATAAAGTTTTTTAAATTATGATGAAAAATACTGTAAAGAAAAATACCAACGTATCAACAGTGCTTATAATTGGGATTGGAGGTTATCACTCCATTTTTATTATCAAAAAATTCCATGACATTTTATAGTGGAAAAATATAAACAAATTTAGAGTAACACTAAGGTAATAACAATGGAAATTACTGAACCAAAGTTGATTTAAAAATCATTTTTTCTCAGAGCTCTGTCAAACATGTTTAGCCTGATTGTCTCACAACAAACAACATAAGTCTTTTACAGTCATAGGCTAATGCTGACTATGAATTGTTATTCATATAATGTAGGCACTGATTTCAGAATCCATATTTTCTGCCTTCACCCAAAAAGCAGAAAAAAGTGAGACCAGTAATACAGTCAATATATGCCTTCTTAATTTCATATAAATCTATTCTGATATTTTGTTTACTGATGCTTTAATTTTTACATATACAAAGCAGCCCATCTTTATTTGCAATTGCTTCTACTCTCCAAAACAAAACAAACAAAACAACTTCAATGATTTTATCAATATTCCATTTTTTGGTAAATTATAAATATCATCCTTCTTATTAAGTTTATTTCGCTATTAGTATGACATAGTCACTGAATGAATCCAGATAGTAGGCTGGGCATACTGTGGGCAAGTTTCCCTTCCCTGAAAGTCTGGCAACTACTTAAGATCACTTTTAAGAGATCCATAATCAAAAGAAAAAAATTACCGTAGTGGGTTAAGACTATGAGAATTAACTGAAAGACAAAAAGCTGACAGAATCAGCTTAAAGGAGAAAACTACAGTCCTATATATTCAAGAGTAGAGACTATTGCAAGTGGTCCTCAGAGAAAACCAAGCCCAGGGGTGGAAGAAAGCAGGAAGAATTGAAACAAGTTACAGCTTGTTTATGCTGATGGGGCAGCATAAAATTTATAAAGTAGCTGAATCTTTGTCAGCCCTTTTCATCTTTGGGTCAAGCTTTATAGAATAGAAATATCTTCTCCCAACTGGGATCAGTTGCATCAAGCAAAAAAAAAAAAAACATCACTCCCAGGTAGGAACAGTGAGTATAAGCTCTTGAATTAGAAAGGGCTCTGTTTAGAACCCTGCCTAGGTATTAACCTCCAAGCACAAGAGAGCAGTCACATCAAAGAAAGCTGGAGATTAGTGCACTCCATCTTGCTGCACATTTCATTCCTCTCCAAAATCAGTGGAGGCCTGCTGCATTAATAGATGCAAGATTCACAGGAAGGCTAATAAGGACTCTCAAATAAAGATGAATTAACAGACTTAAACTTGAAAGAGAGGCTTTAGTACAACAGAAGAGGATTAAGACTTTAAATTTAATACGAAGAACATCTTCAGAGATATGTAAGATAATACATTTGCTTTAAAAAGAAATCAACTTGAGATCTTAGAAATCAAATTTTGATTACTGAACTAAAAAATTAAATAGATTAAGACCGAAAAATATAACTAGCTTATGAGCAAATTAAATCAGTAATCTGAAAGAGGGAGTCAAGAAATTTACCAGAATAATGTATAGAAGGAAAAAGTAAAGAGTAGTTTTTAAAGTAAAGATATAAAGATAATTGAGTAATCTATTAAAACTTCAGCTAGCTTTTTCTGCAGGAATGGACATGCTAATGCTAACCTTCAGGTGAAAATGCAAGAAATCCACAGCACCAACAACCCTGAACCTTGAAGAACTAAGTTGAAAGACTCAAGACACACTTCTTGATTTCAAAACTTACTATACAGTATTCAAAACAGTGTAGTCCTGCCATAAGAAGGGAGTAGAATTGAAAGTTCACAAGTAAACCCATATATCTATAGTCAATTGACTTTATAAGGGTAACAAGACTGACTTTAACAATAACAATGGGGAATGAATAGTCTTTCAACAGATGGTCCTAGGACAACTGGATATTCTTTGAAACCTAGAATTTTATACCTACTAAATTCACATAAAAGTTTTGTTTCTCTCAAGCATCTGGTGAAATAATTACTCAAAAACATACATTCAGAATAAAAAAAATCCTAACTCAAGAATAATAAAGTGCAATTTAATGGTGCACAGAGGAACCAATAAAGGCTTTAGATTTAAATAAGCACTAGTTGGAGTGGGGAAAAAAATCTTTCTAACACTGAACACTACCATTACAGGTGATATCAACAGGAATAATTATGAGGGATGTTGGCTATTTCCACTTCTCTCTAAAACTATATTGGAAGATCTAAATAGTGTAATAACAAGAAAAGAAAAAGAAAAAGAAAAAAAAGGACCAAAGATTGGAACAGAAGAATCCACAAACAAACCTCAGAAGTAAATTTAGCAAGGTTTTGTACACACGGTCAATATACCCCCCCCCAAAAAAATCTCTAAACCAGTAATAAATAATCATAAAATGAAATTTTTGAAGATTTATTTTATTTATGCATATAAAAACAAGGGTGTAAGCCAGAATGTAGGGTGGGAAGATTCACCAGAGACAGTTAGGGGAGCAGA